CCCAGGGTGTAGTTAAAAATCAGTCTGGTTAGGGGAAGCAGAGATCAATTCGGCTTGGATCAATACTGTCTTCATTCTCCTAGAACAAACTCGGGCGCGGAGGCCAAGTGGAAGAGGATGCCAGTGGGATCCCCCAGAAGTCAAGAGATCCTAGACTCGGTGTATTCCATTTTCCCGTGCTTGCTTTTCCTACAGGCTTATAACAAACGCCATAGTGCCTTTCCCACCAAGTCCCCTGACAAGCAGACATGCAGTTTTCTGTCGATGCTGATCTTGATTGCTTTTCAGTCTCTCTAAATTCATCTCAGTCTTTGAAGATCCCAGAGACTCCCGATGTCCCCCAGCCCCAATCACAGTACATGGTTTTTCTTCCTTCTCTTACGAGAGCCATAGCCAGGGATTTTATGTTTCCACTTCCTCCTGAGGGAAGGAAGCAATACCAGTTTGAGAGGGTCCTTGTTAATATTGCTGCTCTAGGCAACGTATTATTTTCCTTTTTACCTAGACTTGCCTTCCTTCCTGGGATTTGTTTTCTGTAGATGCAAAGAAATTCTGACAAGCCAAGAATCCAACCAAGAAGCAGAGGATCAGCGTTACCTGCGTTTCAGGTCGAATAGGTGCAGTCTCGGGAAACAGGAACAAGAAAAACAAATTAGGGCTCCTAGTGTAGCTGCCTCATCACTGAAGATGGAAAGCCCCCAAAGTCACCAGGGTACGGATCTGTGATCCTTCCCCGAGATAGCATTCTATAAATCTGGAGGAGTCTTTTGGGCTAGATTGCAATGGACTGAATGTTTGTCCTCAAAATTCGTATGTTGAATCCCTAAACCCCAAGGCCATAGTATTAGGAGGTGAGGCAGTTGGGTGACAATTAGGTCATGAGGGCGGAGCTGTCACAGATGAGATTAGTTCCCTGATGAGAAAGACCCCAGAGACCCCTCAGCCCTCTGCGTGGTGAGATGCAGTGAAGAGACAGCTGTCTAGGAAGCAGGCTCTCTCTTATTTGACACAGAATTTGCCGACAACTTGATCTTGGATTTTCCAGCCTCCAGAACCACGAGAAATAAATGTCTGTGATATTTTGTTATAGCAACCCAAATAGACTAATGATAGACGAACTGAAGAGTTAAAGACTTTAGCCTCAGCGATAGTTGATAGGCGCAAGTGACTGGTGCAGGTAGAATGCTGCTCTTCCAGGAACCGGAATGCAGGACCTGCATGGCTCCCGGAGGCCTACCGAATATTCAGCCCGGGGAAGGAGATGGAATCGGAGCCAGTGTGCTCCTGGGAGGGAGTCAGACAGAGAACTGTTCCTCGACAGATGAAGAAGTACTAGGAAAATCTCCACTGGGCTGCAACTCGTATCCCATTAACCTTTTTCCTACTTACCTTACCTACCCTAACCTTTCCCTTACCTGCCCTTTCTTCTCCTTATAAAAACAACGGCTTCAGATGACCCTTAAGATGGTTTTTGAGGGTGCATAACCTCCTGCCTTCTCAGATCGCCAGCATCTGAATAGAACGCCCATAAAGATCCTTGTCTCTACTGATTGGTTCTCGCAGTGACAGGCCGCACGAACGCCGACTTTCCTGGTTTTACTAAGGCGGAAATGCAGAAATGTTTCTTGTGAGGCTGTCATGATGTTGTGGTATTTAGATAGGGTTATTCTTCCTGACTCCTAGCAAATATCCGATTGTTGAAATTCCACCACTTACAGCTTATACTCCTAGGAACGAGTTAGGGTTTTTCCTTCCTCCGACAATGAAGCTTGAATTTCAAAAATTGTCCTTTTTATGGAAATTCAAACAAAATAATTCAAATGACAATCCTGTGATTTGTGATTTTTTTTCCTTCTTTGGCTGCAACCTCACACTTTTCTCATCTCTGACTACACAAACTTGAGACATCTCAGAGCACATCGAAACACCTGTTGACCAAAGAACATCCGTCTCCAGGTCTCTTGCTTTTGTGACACTTTTCGATAACTTGGCGATTTTATTTGGAGCACGAAAATACCCAAACCTGTTTTAAGTAATGAAAATACCAAAACCTGTTTCATAGGTGTGAGAGTGTGTGTGTTTTTAAAGATGTGTTCGCAAAATCTTTAACACGCCTATTTTTCAAAGGCGGAACCTGATTCCCCTCGCCTTGAATGGAGGCTGGACTTAGTGAAGTGCTTCTGATGAATGGAACGTGGGAGAGGGGATGCTCTGTGGCGTCCAAGGCCAGGCCCTTACTAAGGACTGCGTCCACCTGGCCCTCACTTTCCTGGACCAGTGGCTGAGGGGAGTCAGCTGCCAGGTGGTGAGGACCCGGGAGCAGCCTCGGGGGAGGTCTGTCCGGGGAAGACCCGAGCCCTTCTCCCCAAGCCAAGCCACTGGTGTGAGCCCACCCGCCCGCCCTTCTGACAACGCAGCCTCGGCTGAGACTTTGACTGCAGCCTCAGGAGAGGCCTCCAGTCGGGAGCACCTGCGAAACCGCTCCAGAGTCCAGACCCACAGATACTGCCGGAGATAATAAATGTTTATTGTTGTTTAAGCTGCTAAGTTTGGGGGAAATTTGTTACACGATAATAGATCACTAATATAGGAAGCAATTAGCAGAGGATACTGTTCTATTCTTGAAACTCTTGAAGTGAAAATACCAATTATGGTACAATCAGAGAATTCTCTTTTCCCAGCTATTTACATTTTATTCTCATTCAGTTGGATCACATAAATCCCACCCAACACGCTCCGAATCTCTACTTTTCTCTCCATCTGTTCCCATTCGAAAGGTTGATACGCGTTATTTGCATGTGAATGTATAGATGTGAATGGGGCAGGAATGCCAAAAGGGTTAAGGAAACGGAAAGCTGGATAGATTGCCCCCCTTCCTCGTTAAATATCTCACACCTCTCACCTCCTCCGGAACCCTTTTGTCTCGGAGAAAACGCTTCGGTTTCGGTTGAAGGTACCAGCTTAGTTTAGGGCCTCATTACCTCTTGAGTGCTTTACTGATAAGTCATTTTTTTGCCTTGTGGCAAGGTTCTGTTCTAAGGCACAGATCTGACTGTGTCACCTTTTCAGGGAAAAACTTTGAAAGATTGCTCATTATGTTTGGGACTGAGGTCACTCGTCAGCTGAGCTCTCCCACCACCCGTGGGGTTACGTGCAGGGCTCAGCGTGGGACGGGGCCTGGGGAACATTTCATCAGCCGTGGGCACGCAGAGTATGACGTGTCCTCTTCCCTGATGTTTCCTAACACTCTACGACACCTCATACGGTCCTTCATTTCCCAGGGGATTAGCACCCATGGGCAACCTAGGGGTAGGGGTTCCTGCTTTCCTTGGTGATGGTGTTTCGTGGAGACTTTGGGGGTTATTGTAATTTTCTGTGTAACACAAGACTGGGTTCTTCCCCATCCCTCTGCCGATCATCATGGGCTTAGAGACCCTAACTCATTTTTTTTTTCAAGAAGGACATTTCAGAAGCAAAGGCAAAGACCTCTCTATAGACATGTCAGCTCCGAATGTACTCCACTGAAATGATGGGGGGCGGGGGAGTTAGTGGCCTTTATCTTTCTGTAAAACTACACAGGGCAGTAAAAATATAGGACATCCACTTAAATTTGAAATTCAAATAAACAAGGAATAAACTTGTAGTGTCAGTATACCCCAAATACTGCACAGAATATACTTGTACTAAGAAGTTACTTGTTGTTCAGATTTAACTGGCATCCATCCTGTATTTTTCTGTGTGGAATCCAGCAACCCTAATTATTCTCCCTACACCTGAAGGTCTGGGAAGAGCATTCTCACAGCCGCCACACACCCGTGGGGCTAGGAGAAGAAATGTAATAGGCTGGAATTATTAAAACTCCAAAACTTACAAGGGATTCCTGAGAAGTTGCAACTCTCAGCCAGGGAGGGGGTGCGACTCCTACAGCTGTTAGAAAACCACAAAGTGATCCCGCTGCTGCTGTGGGCAGAACCTGCAGCTTCAGGGACGCTGGGCTGGGCCGCGAGCTGGTGGGAGGCCACGGGGAAGCAGAGAGCAAACACGCCGGAAGAAACAGGTCCCTTCCCCTCCTCGGGCCCTGCAGTCCCCTCCACACTTGGTGCTGGCAGAGCATCACTAGCAAGGCAGAAACGCAGAGCCAAATGTCAAGATCGGGTTTGGGATTAAAAGTAAACCATTCATAGCCGGCACAGCCCTGGCTGGTGTGGCTCAGTGGATTGAGCATGGGCCTGGGAACCAAAGCGTCTCCCGTTCGATTCCCAGTCAGGGCACAGGCCTGGGTTGCAGGCCAGGTCCCCCAGTTGGGGGCATATGAGGGGCAACCACACATGGATGTTTCTCTCCCTCTCTTTCTCTTTCCCTTCCCCTCTCTCGAAAAAAAAATGAATAAAATCTTTAAAAAAAATAACTGGCACAAAGGTAGAAGATGACCAGAGATCATACCCAATTAGTGAAATCCTGAAAAAGGAGTCGCTGCCAGCCCCCTACGGTTTCAACCTGATGCCAGACTTACAACCGTCAGGGTCGAAGGCAGTGGGGTGTGGGCCTCGGCGCTGCAAACACGGCTCCGCAGCATATTGAATACCCGAAGCCGAAGGGATCTGGGAAACAGCAGGTGTTGGAGGGCTTCTCGGACCTTCTCCAGAAGCAGGTCCTGAGACTCTCCAAGCGAGGTGCCCTCCCCGCACCCAGAGAAAAGGAGCTCCTTATCTCCAAAAACACCGGGAGGTCGGGGTGGGGGGTGTGTGTGTGTGTGAATGAACAGGTTCTCCTTGGTGTCCTCCGTTTACCGCCCGTAGCTTCTACCCTTTGTCCTGGCACTTTTCCCCACAGCTTTCTGCTCCTCCTCAAACCTAGCATGAAAACGGTCCGTGTGACCCCTTCTCGGGTCTTCACTGTCCTAGGGAGGTCTGTCCCTTGGAAAAGTTGTATTAAAAAATTGCATGGCTTTGATAGGGGAACTCAAGAGTTAAAGATTTTAGCTTCAGTCCGTAGGCGTTAGGCGTAAGTGATTAAAGCCCGTGGAAAGCCGTTTTCCAGGAACTGGAATGCGCGACCTACGTGACTCCGGGAGGTCCACAAGCAATCCCGCCTTGTGCCCCGGGCCATCTGCAGGGGAGGAGGTGGCATCTGAGTCACTGGTTCCAGGGAGAAAAGGCAGGTGAAGAATTGTTGATCAACAGATGGAGAAGTACCAGGAAACTACGTAACTCTTAACCCATTAACCTTTTTTCCCCAAACCCCTTCCTACCTGTTCTTCTTCTTATGAAAACAGCAGCTTCCGATGAACTGTTAAGATGGTTTTGGGGGGTACATAACCTGCCGTATTCTCAGATTGCCGGCACCTGATTAAAGCACCCACAAAGACTCGACCCTTGTCTCTCCTTGTTGGTTCTGGTGGTGACAGACGGCACGAACGCTGCCTTTTCCAGCTTCAGTGTCTTATTTATGTGTCTTTTGTTGCAGAGCCACAGCCGAGAACCTACAAGGGTAGAAGGGGAAAAGGAAAACGACAGGTTTACTCTAGTTCCCCAGGATGGTCGAACCCGCCAGGACACAGGAGCAGGTCTGGGAGACTCGGGGCTCCTCTGACCTGCAGTTCTGGCTTCAGGACCCGCCTGTGGCACTTCAGAAACTTCCTTAGAAAATACGGTCCCTTTCTCCTTCACCCAGAGCATCCCTGCATCTCGGTCTGAGCCTCCCGGCTGAGCCTCTCGGCGCCCTCTGGGTTTCCCCTCACACAGGCATTTCCCCCAGTGGAACCCTTGCAGGTTAGTCCTGTCTCAGTACCGAGCCCCAGGGAGGCTGACAGGAGGGCGGCGGGGTCCCACAGTTACTGCTCTGTGGCGCTCTGATGTTCCTCCTCACCCCTTCTGTCACCCAGGAAACAAAACTCCCTACCTTACTAACTGTTCTCTACATTAAATCTTCTCTCTTCAAGTAATCGGTGGGGCTTCTGTCTCTTGACTGGGGGCCCCTGAGCTCTCTGAGAACTCTACAATGCCCCAGGAAGGTTCAGAGAGGAAGCCACTGCATTCAAGGGATGAGGGGGTGTTTATTTTCCTTTAACTTCCTCTGTGATTTAACACAGAGTTGGCAAAACAGGTTGAGCAAGGTGACGGCCTGATACACGGCCTGGCCTCAGACACTTGTTGTGCTGTGTGTGACACTGGGAGTCACACTGGGACGCCCTGGCAAGGTAGAAGGCGTCCCCAGGAAGGTGATCACGATAGTGACTAATCTGGAAGCCATTCCCAATGAAGGGCACACTTAGTGAATCCGGAGAAGACTGCCGGAGGGTGGGGTAACTGTGCCCAAGGTCAGTCTTAAGGAAACCGGGTTAAACTTACTTTGCATGGCTCCAGATAACAGAACCGGAACCAGTCAGAAAGAGCTAGAATGAGACCCGTGGGCTCAAGTTTGCAGCAATGCAGACTTGCGTTCCTTCAGCTTGTGTTCAACACGTGCCTGGCGAAGGTGGGGAGAAGCCGTGTGGCCTGCCACTAAAGTGCGTAGTTGTTTGTGTGCAAGTCCCCGTGCCTGAAATATTTTAAGCCACTTTGCCATTTTAATGTTTTCTTCATTCATTAATGACTAAATTTTTGACCTGCGTCCTGTGTTTCCAGAAAAGCCATGTTTTAACTTTTTAAAATGACATTGGACAATGATACGAGTTAAAAAGTGAAGTGGTTGTCCAAATTGTTAGTAAAACGTTAATAAACCCAGAACCCAGAACACACACTGCTGCCCGCACCGGGCGGCCGGCGCCCGCGGCACGCGACCAGAGTCCGGGCTCCAGCTTCAGAAGGGCTCTGTGTGAGCAAGAGACGGCAGGGAGAGGGCGAGGGGGTGGCGGGAGGCCTCGGGAACGCGCTAGGTGAGGTATTAATAGAACGAAGGAACAAAGACTCCGGAGGCCTGTGTTGTGACTGTTTTTAACTTTCATCCCTGATTCTATCAAATGTGACAAATCACAGTGCTGCCTGAATTAAAGAAAGTCGTTAACCTTTGTACGTGTCACGTTCTTTGTGTGTAAAATGAACGAGCTGAAACAGCTCTGAAACCCGAAGACAACTGTACCCGGTATAAAGTTGACTGAACAAAGGAAAGGATGGACTTCTTTTGTGCACTTCCTAAGGATGCAGCTAAGCCCTGTGTGGGCTCACACCCAGCCACCCGAGCCTGTGCCTCTGTGACGTGTACATTGCTTTGAGCTAAGGGCAGTTTGAGCTCCAGGCTCAAAACTTCTGCCCCTGCCCGGCAGCACCTAGAAGCACTTGAATTTGAGGCCTTGCCCATAACGACATTACCAGCCATAATCTCTTTTTGACCCACTGATGCGGAGGGCAAAGTTGTGTTTACTCAACACCTGCTCTGCTTACCATCCCCCGATGAGCCCTCGAAGTCCCCAGGTGCATGAGCTCCTCCCTAGCTCAGAACGCCTCAGCCCCTCCTCCATCTCCAAACCTCTCCCGCACGGGGGTCTGGGAACCTGCTGCGTGAGCAGGGTCCCCATGCACGTGTACGTATTCAGTGTGGTCATTTCCCCTTGCTCCTCTGCCTCACGTCTGTGTGGTAGTCAGACCAGCCAGAAGAACTCGAGGGTGGAGGAAGTCGTGATCCTCCCACACAGGCGTCTACGTTAGAAGTTATAGGAAGATAGATTTATGGCTGAATATTTTTTTAAAAAAGCTTTCTAACCATGAGAACTGTTCACAAACACAAGCCATCTCGTGCAGTACTGAGTCCTGGGGCCACCTGGGAAGATCCATCGAGACGTTCTCGGGGATTTACCTGCTGGAGCCACGGCACTGCGCGGCCTGAGAAGTGAGTCCCTCACGGTCTGATTCAGCCTGGGCGTGTCTGGTCTGGTCTCCCTGAGCCGATGCAGAAGGACCGACTCCGCATTTCTAAAGGTTTTCCTTCTTTTTTCTGATTTTGTGTTTGTTTTTTGTTTCTGTCCTTGGCCAAGTCTGCTGGTTTGTTTGTTTTGATTAGTTTAGGGTTAAGCACAGTTACGGCCTGGAGCAGACCACATTGGCTTGTAAGAACCAACTGTTGATGCATGCACCTCTCCCCCGTTCTGCATTTACGGCACCGTGTTGGTAGACTGGACACAGCACTATGGGTGAATTTAGACCACAGACACAGGCACATGCTACACATTAGGGCTTGTTTAGGGGAGAGCTGATGTCTAAACTGACAACTGTGCTCAGTACAAGGTTTCTTTCCACAGCTGGACCCAGGCGCTGGTGAGTCCAGGTCTTGTTTCCAACCACTAGACTAGTCTCGGCTGCATTATCTGCACAGCACCCTCATAAACGTGCGGCAGGGGCCACATCTTCTTCCACAGCCAGACTCAGGACTGCTAGGTGGGGCCCGCTCCCAGGCGGACAGGTGATCCTGATATGCAGGTGGCTGATTGTTATGGGTAATTCGGTTTTGTAATCTGGCTATTTTGATGGTAGATAATTGGGATCTATTTTCCTTCAGGGGGAAGGGGAGATAACAGCTAATCTAGTCTGGAAGTCTTTTAGTTTGTCTGTTTGTCTCCTTGTGAGCTCAAATTAGTTAAGAAAATATTTAATGACCACTAGGAAGGAAAAGAGCCTTTCGAGAACTGTGGTGGTGAGTTTCTGGTTTCTCTGTTTGCCCGTGACCTGTAGCTGAGGTCACAGAGCTGAAGCCGGGCAGTCCTCTGTAATGGAGGAAAGCTTTCATCTTTCATTGTGCATTTTTTTTTACCTCTGGAGGGTGTTAACAAATTAAATTAAAAAATCTTTTAAATGAAAGAAACTCTCTTCCAATTGATTTATAGAGTAAGTCAGTCATTTATACGTATACTATGCCTACATAAATCTAATAGTCCCAGAATTCCTAGAAATAAAGAAATCGAATTTTAATACTCTAAATGTTCTAGACGTTTAATAAAAAATTCTTTCAGAAAGTGCAGACTCATAAGCATTTTATATGATCATCAAAATATGTATGCATAATATGTAACACATAATAATTTAAACTCACACAAGGTGAATCTTTGTATAAATCAGGCTAGTTTATAATTTTAGCTTAAGAAAGATATCTTTTTTCCCTCATTTTAGTAGTAAGTATAATACATTTGTGTGTTTTATGTCTTAGAGGATCTAGGTTTGTTTTCTGAATTTCCTCAACTTCCTATACTATTTTATTAATAAATGACTTAACATTACGACTTAAAATTGTTAAGGATTATGAAAATTATAGAATTATGTGTCAAACTAAATTAAATTATAATATCAACAATCTTTCTGATATCAGCAATGATTATGTTCTATATTATGTTAGCTGAAATATAATTTCCAGTATCCTTAACTTTAAAATATTGGACTGATATAAAATTGAGTTAATTAATAGATAATATTAGGATTTTAAGACATTAATTACTAAAATATACATATATCTTTGTTTCTTATTTTACTATGCTACGGAGTGGCATGGTTTTGGATTATGTTAATGAATGTGTTAATTTATGCTTGTATATGACACTCAACTATCAATTATCCATCTCTCAGTGTTCTCTATAAAATAGAGGTCAATTTATTAAAAATTTTTAGTTATTATGGATAATGAGGACCATTGAGGGGGACCAAACTTTTGCCATCCCAAAAAGAACCTTTTGGGATATTGATTTTAAGTTGGTTATTAAGACACAAAACACTCAGAAAGAACCTTGAACCCATCCCTCTACCCGCCTAAAGGAACTCAGAAAAACCAGCTTCAGGGAAGGGAGCCTCGCCCTGCCCCCTGGACCAGCCAGAGTTTGATCACCCCGTGTTTCCTCCTTCCCATGTACCTGCGAACTGCCCGCTCACCCTTGGAGATCCCAGGCCCTTGCCTACTTCTCTCCTGTGCAAACTGGCATGCACACCTCAGCTGCTGGATCAGTCTCGGGTCCCCTATTTTACGACACCCTCCAGGCACATCCGTGATAAAATTTGGACACGTTCTCCTGTCGACCTGTCTCATTAATTGATTAGCCTGGCTAGAAGAAATTAGAGGGTGGGAGGAAAGCTGTTTTGCTGACTCCCCCACCACACTCGTGGCAATAGTGACCACGGCCAACGGTACTAACAAACACAACAACAGTGTTTGCAAAGTAAAGGAACTTGTTTTGTTTCCCAAAGAAAAAGTGAGTGATTTTGTGCTAAAAAATATCTGTTCTAGAACATGAATCGGGATTAGGGAAAGACAAAACTTGAGTGGATACTGAAAATTGTAGAAGTTTTACTGACAGTAAACCATATTTGTCGTGGTTGTCTGAAAAGAAGTAATAAAATGTGTTAACATTTTGGCAAAGTTCCTCCAGTTTTGATGGGCTTGTTCAAAGATAATTTTTAAAAAAAGAATTTGGAATCCTTTATTGCCAGATATTGAACTAATGCAAAAATAGAATTTGGCTCTCTATTAAAATGATAAGTTGCTGTTAGAGCTCTGAACAAGGAGTAATAAGTAGTTATTTACCTTTTGTGTGATCCATCCATATTGCAGTGATGTACACATAAGTACCAGAATAATTTTCTGTACTGTGTGTTGATTTTATCACATCTGTGATTGTTTTCTTAAGAACAGAGAACAAAGTCTCCTCGTGTCTGAAATAGCGAAGGTTCCTTAAGATTATTTTACCTACTTCTATGTCTATTTTAAAATATGGTATTGTTGTTCTAATGAATAAGTAACTAAACTTTTTTCTCAAGCACTCAGAATCCTAGCTTAATCACGGACCACATCTACTCTATCCAATCTGCTGCTTTTGTCTTCCTAAATGCAGACCCTCAATTCAGAAAAAATGAAATGTTCAGATTGTCTTTCTACCTAAAACTACCTTGGAGACTCCTAAGGAATTTCTGGAAAATCACAAAGATTTGTCCTTTCACCTTATTAAAAAAAGAGAGAGAAGGTTAGAAATAATTAGATTGTTGGGTAGTGAATTGTTCAACAAGTTCAACGCCATTGCGAGAGTAGCGTGGAAACTGCTGTCCGATCCG